TCGCCCCATTCCTATGTTCGAATATGGAAACATATCTGCAACAAAGAAAAGGGAAATGTTGATACTCACATTATAAATCCGAGATGAGGAAGACCAGATGAAGATCCACAGACAGAAAAATATGAACACAGCAAAAGAATTAGACAAACAGCTTACCACTACCACAAAAGGCAAGGAAGAGGAGGTTGACGGCGAGAGAGAGAGGAGGGAGATTTGATTGACGGCAAGAGAGGAAAGAGATGAGATTCACGGCAAGAGAGGAGAGAGAGGAGAGGGAGGTGACGTTTTAGAGAGAGAGAGAGAGATTTTCTTTTTAACACAATTAGGTTAAACTCCGCTTATATATGAAGGTAAAGTTTTCGGTTCAGTTAAAAAGAATTTGGTTCCGGCCTAGTTAAAAAAATTGAAATTTCCGCTTAGTTTATTTTGAACATCAGACTTCTTTTGATGTCTACAAATAAAGTTTTCTAATGATGTTTTTTTTTTAACTCTAAAACCTAAATCAAATATTTTAATTTTGTTACCATAAACCTAAACATTAATTTTTTTACTATATTCAAAATTTAAAAGTTAAAAGAACAATGATATGGACATAAATCATTAACCAAACCATAAACTATGATTCATATAGAATTTGTGTTTACACTAACAATTACATTTTTATACCTTAAACTTTAAACTTTAAATCCTAACTCTTTTGAACCTTAAATCTGAATCCTTTACAACTTTATACTTACGAAACTTATAAATTAATTTATTTTCATAAAATTTTGTTTAATATAGATGTGAATTGTCTATGTTTTGGTTATGTTTATAATTTTTTTATCATAATATTTTTTATAAATTAAAATTTTGTTATTTATTAGATTTCTTTAGTTGATTTCTGAGGGTTGTATTTTATTGTATTCTAATCTAATTTATCTTTCTTCATTTAAATTGATTCATACAAATTTTATTTTCTATAAATGCTAAATATATATGTTTTAGTTATATTTACCAATTACTTAGAATTTTTTTTTAATTTTCTAATTAAAATTTTAAAAATAATTATGTAGTAGACTTCTTGTGAAGTCTACACAGTTGTGAAGTCTACACAGTTGTGAACTTTACACCAGTAGACTTTTTTAACGGTCTACACCAGTAGATTTCTTTACGAGTTTATAAAAATCAACTTTTTAGCAATTTATAATAGTAGACTTCCAAAAGATAAAACAGTAACTATAGCGAACATTTTTTGTTTAATCATAAAGAACTGAGCAATAATTTTACTACTCATTAAAGTTAGTTTTACCAAACATGCAATATAAGATCTATACATTTAAAAAATCTAATTTTAGATTATTCTCAGCAATTTCTCTTTCTTTAAGCTTGATATTTATTTCTTGACTATATATATATATATATATATATATATATTGTTAGAGGGGAAATTAACATATTTTCTAAAAGGCTTTCTCTAGCAGTAATCTAAGCCCATCAAGATTAGGAGGACTACGCCGACCTAGCTCGGATAAAAGAAAAACTCTTAAAGATAACCTTCAAAGACCGGAAACATTGGATCAACTCGAGGGATAAAGGAGAATTTTCATATTCTTCGGAGAATAAGGGATATTTCCGTATCGCAAATATGGAAATATTCACCAAAGGTAAAAAGAAAAAGGAGTTCGGAGCAAGCGACCTCCTATCCCTATAAATAAGAAGACCCTGAAGCTAAGAAGAAGAACTCATACAATCTAGAGAGCAGCAGAGCTAAAACCAGAGACTCCAACGCTTTCTAGTTTACTTCGCAAACACCTTCTTTCACTTCGGCATAACCTCTCGGTTATCCCATTCTTTGTAATCGTTTCGCTTATTGCTATTAATAAAAGATCTTATTCTCTGAAACTCACAACTGTTAATCAAAACCCTAATGATGATTTTCTGGTTCAATATATATATATATATATTTATATACATTAAAGAGTTAATCAGCCATATCTAAAAAAGAAACAGAATATAATTAAACAACAGTAATGAATTTTCATTATATGCAATAGAAAGGAAAGAAAAATTTCATACTGTTGAAATATTTTTAATTTATGTTGAAAAGTTTTGAGATAAAATAACAGAAATTGATTACATACAGTAGTTTCTCACAACCATATAATGACTGATTGCAGATATCATGTTGAAATATTTTAATTTATGTGGAAAAGTTTTGAGACAAAATAACAGAGAAATAGAGATATCTGCAATCCGTCATTATATGGTTGCGAGAAACTACTGTATGTAAGCAATTTTTCATTAATATGGGACACGTCATTTTGTAGAATATTATCGTTGTTTTTACATGACATGTTAACATATATTATGATATACTAGATAAGTATCCGCGTGATGCGCGGATATTTTTTCACAAAATAATTTTAAAAAAAGTGTAGTTACAATTTATTTTATCGTATATTTAAATTTTTTTAAAGGATATTGTGTATTTGAATATACATATAATACATATTTACATATTATGTGGATATTAACTATATATGTGATCAATGATTTATGGATAAGAAAATATGAAATATATTATACCTTGTATGTATAGAATATATTAAATGGATATAGTGCAAATCAGAAATGTACTATATAACAAAAATTAATTAGAGAAATTCTTCAAGCACAACATAGATAGAAACAACTCTTTTTAACAGGTCATACTTGTTCACGGCGTATATTTACACAATAACAATGCCATGGTTTTATATTTTTATGAACTTAAATAATCGAATTATAATTCTAATTTATACAGCTGCATTAAATATTTTAAAATTATCAATAGAGCAAGCTTGAATAAAATAAATTATCAAATAATTATTAGTTTATAAAAAAATTGTTTTAAAGTTTATTATAATATTGTATAAATTTTTTTTCTAACTTTTTAAGGTTGAAAATATCAAATAATTGTTATTTTTATATTTGTATAATTGTTTTTATAATAATATCTTATAATATTAATTAAAAATAAGAAAACACTCTTAAATATAGAACATAAATTTTGTTAATGATTTTTAAAAACTACTACAAAATAGATATTCAATAATTATTTTTGGATATTATGTATATATTGTTATTAAAATATATTATATAATTCTTTATATTTAATACATTAAATTTATGCATTAACTGTATTTTACATAATTTGTATCATTATATTTTAAAAAATAACACATATTATTTCTACAATAAACCAAAATGATGAGATGGCATTCATACGAAGATAGTTGACCATCTTTTATAGTATAGATATATCATGGTATCATAGAATTGTTGTTTCGCTTGATATTTCAAGATATAAACATTATGTACTCCATATATTTTTTTCCTTTCTATAGTCAACAAAGTGGGTCCCTTTTGTGTATCTGAATACTACGCGGCTTAATGGCGCATGTAAATGTTTTTGGAAAGAAAAAGGGAATTTTTTTCAACGTGCACGTTCTTCCTTTCTATTTCTGTTCTTCTCTTGTGCATTAACGCGTATCACTCAAATATATATATTCTTTTATGTTTTTTTTGGGTATTATTGTTAAGAAGTTTTATATAAGATGTTTCAAAGATTTTGTTTTGTTTTGTTTAATATTTACAAGTTCATATGCAAAAATTATATATTTTAATATGTTGTATTCTTGGGTTATTTCATCAATAAAAATATATAAAAAAGAAAAAGAAAAAGAAAAAGAGATAGGAAAGATGATGTCTCTATATTATATCGATTAGTCATGTAGAGGCAAGTTTGGAATATTGAATTTTAAACAGCACAAGAATAGCATTATTGTTAGATCGCAAATAATAGTAAAATCAGGTGCAAAAAAAGTCACGATCTAATTAAACCTGTCTTATAAATTCTACTACGCTAGATTGAAATAGAAACTTTTACTTTCCATTTCTTACTTACATCGACACGTGGTAAGTTTTCCAGCCAATAGATTAACACATTATCGTGGATAGTGAATACAGCTAGGTGTTAAGAACTGAGGGGTTGTTCCTCCTAACCTAAGTAACAAAGACTTGAAGTTACCTCCACTAAGTTACCTCCTGCTTCGTCCAACCCATCTCTGCTTCGTCCTGGTCAGTGAAAGACTTGAAGTTACCTCCACTAAGTGAGTGAGTTCTAACGAAATTACAAAAAAAAAAAACACAGACATTGCCTATTTCCTTGGACGAAAAGCGATTTCCAGGAGGTAACTATAGGTAAAACCCTAGTTTTTGTTTTTCATGTTTTTAAGTTTTCCATAAAGGTTCGATCTTTTGTATTCTGAAATTTGCATTTTGCATTTTGCATTTGTTTTCTGATCTCAATATTGTTCATGTCTCGGAAAACTAAACACTTTTAAAACTCATCTAATCTTCTTGCCCAATTTTCTTCTACAAATCGGTTGGACGAAAAGCGATCTTCCAAAAAGGTGATTTTTCTTGATCTTGTCCCTTTCCAATTTTCTAGTTTTCTTACGATCTTTTGTTTTTGTGCATCTTTTCTTCTCTCAATCCTGTTTCCGTAGAACAATGTCGCTGAATATATAGTATATCTAAAATGCTGCAAATTGTGGATGATATTATCTGAATTATATAAATTCATGGACGTTCCTCTTAATTTCTACTGTAAGAATTAAAGAATATAGAAACCATATCATTAGGATTCCTGTATTTTTGCTATAGATCATTAGGATTTCTGTATTTATGCTATAGATAATTAGGATTCCTGTATTTATGCTATAGGTCATTAGGATTTCTGTATTTATACTATAGATCATTAGGATTCCTGTAATTACGCTATAGGTCATTAGAATTCCTGTAATTAGTTACTTGATTCTGTCTTTCCATGTATTCATGTAACTAGTCTCCTCTTTACCTCTGTCTTTCCATGTATTCTCTCTTCTATGTTTACATATAAACAGAGCTCAGCCTATCAACAATACTTACCAAATTATTCAACAGTTGCTTTCGTTTCTTGGTTTAGGAAGAGAGTTATGGATAAAATTGTGATTGTTGATGACACTTTCATTTCTTGGTTTAGGAAGAGAGTAATGGCCGAGACACTCTTGTCGTTTGGAGTTCAGCAGCTCTGGAACCTTCTTGTCCGAGAAACTAATAGATTTAACGGCGTAGATGAGCAAATCACTGAACTCAAAAGTGATATAAACCTGCTGAGGTCCTTCTTGAAAGACGCAGAGACGAAGCAACATGCAAGTGCCTTGGTGAGAAACTGTGTTGAGGAGATCAAAGAAATTGTGTTTGACACGGAAGATATCATCGAGACATTTATTCTCCATGAAGAGCTTAAAAAAACAAGTGGTGTCAGAAGGCGCATGAGAAAAATTTCTCGCACTGTAGTGGACCGGTGGGTAGTTGCTTCAGAAATGGAAGGGATACGCAAGAGGATCTCCAAAGTGATTCGTGATATGCAGAGCTTTGGGGTGCAACAGGTGATCATTGATGGCGGCGAGACTTTACATTCTCTACAGGAAAGACAAAGGGAGATGCGACACAGTTTTCCCAGTGACAACGAAAGCAATTTCGTGGGGTTGGAGCCAAACGTGAAGAAATTGGTTGGGTATTTGGTAAATGAGGATAGCATTCAAGTTGCTTGCATTTGCGGGATGGGCGGTATTGGCAAGTCTACTCTGGCCCGACAGGTTTTTAACCATGAGATGGTAAAAAACTTTTTTGATGGAGTTGTCTGGGTCTGTGTCTCACAACATTTCACACGGCAATATGTGTGGGGGACGATCTTGCAGAAGCTCAGTTCAGAATATGACGAGGAGAGAGTGGCAAGTATGACTGAAGACGAGCTTCAGGAAAATATATTTCGATCGTTGGAAGCTAGTAACTATCTGATAGTCCTAGATGATATGTGGAAAGAAGAAGATTGGGACAGAATAAAGAAAGTGTTTCCACCTACAAAAGGTGAACCATAGCATACATTAGGCTATCCGTCTTCAGTTATTTTTTAGGGACTTATGTTGGAATATATATTCTGCAGGTTGGAAGATACTGCTCACTTCTCGCAATGAGGGAGTGGCATTACATGTAGATCCCAGATGTATCATTGTTAAACCGGAATGCTTAACCGTTGAAGAAAGTTGGACCCTCTTTAAAGTGATAGCATTTCCAAGGAAAGGTACGACCGGTAAGCTTCCAAGAACAACATGTGATGATTGTTTTCAATTAAGTCATAAACAATTGACTAGAAAATCTCCAAGCGATATGATCTTGAGAGAATGATTAATATATATACTTGTGGTTGTTGTGCTGCAGAATTGAAGGTTGATGAAATGGAAGAGATGGGGAGGCAGATGATCCAACAAACTGGAGGTCTACCGTTGGCTGTAAAAGTGTTAGGAGGGATTTTAGCTTCACAAAAGACACTGCTTGAGTGGAAAAGGGTGTATCAGAATATCAGTTCTCGCATCGTTGGAGGGACCAGCTTCAATGACAGAAACATCAGCTCGGTTTATCACGTTCTGCATCTGAGCTTTGAAGAGCTGCCAGCTTATCTGAAGCACTGCTTTCTCTACCTTGCCCATTTTCCAGAAGACGATCCCATAGATGTTGAGGAGTTGTCCTATTACTGGGCCGCAGAAGGAATACCAAGGCCGAGGTATTACGATGGAGCGACCATCCGGGATGTCGGAGATGGATACATTGAAGAATTGGTGAAGAGGAACATGGTTATCGCTGAAAGAGACGCTGGTACTTCGAGATTTGAAACATGCCAGTTGCATGACATGATGAGAGAAGTTTGTCTGCGTGAAGCTGAAGATGAGAATTTCTTACAAATTTTTCAGGAAAGGAGAAGTACCGTGGCCTCAGTTGCAAACTCTCAGTCTCCTTTCAGACCTCGCAGAGTCGTCATACCTGAGTGGTTTCCTACATTTCGCTTAGAGAATCCAAAAGTTAGATCTTTGCTGTGTAGCACAGGCGCAAAAAAGAAATATTTCCTGCGCCATGGGTACAAAAAAATGGACTCAGGCTTTTCCTTTAAAAAGCTAGAATTGATCAGAGTGTTAGATCTTTCTTGGGTCTGGTTTGACGGATTACAGTTACCGTCTGGCATTGGGAAGCTTATTCACTTGAGATATTTGAGCTTATTTCAGTCAACCATACGTTTTCTACCGTCTTCTATGCGAAATCTGAAGTTGTTGATCTATCTAAACCTAGCTGGAACGTTTAGTACTCACGTCGTCAACATGCTAACTTTCTTGAAAGAGATGCGAGAATTGGTATACTTGTGTCTCCCGGGGAGTATGCATCAGAAAGAAAAGTTGGAATTGACTAATTTAGTCAACCTGGAGACGTTGGAGAACTTCTCGACAGAACATGGGAGTCTGAGTGATCTCCAGGGTATGACACGGCTCAGGGCTCTGTCTATTCATATCAAAGGCCAAGGCTTTACAATGGAAGCTCTAATTTCGTCTCTGCGTGAGTTGAGACACCTGGAACACCTTTCTGTTACAGATTGGTGCAAGGCGAATGCTTCCACGAATGAAATTGTTTTGGATTACATCAATCTCAAACAGCTGAAGCTGGTGATATATATGCCAAGGTTACTTGTTGACCAACAGTTGCCTTCTCACCTTACAACCATAACTCTATCACATTGTCGTTTCGAAACGGATCCGATGCCGATTCTGGAGAAGCTGCTGCACCTAAAGGAGGTTTCTTTATGCTCTCAATCTTTCTGTGGGATGAGAATGGTTTGTTCGTCGGGTGGGTTTCCTAGATTGCAGAAGCTAACACTATGGGGACTAGAGGAGTTGGAAGAGTGGATAGTAGAAGAAGGCTCCATGCCACTTCTCCATTCTCTCGAGATTTGGAGTTGTAAGAAGTTAAAGGAGGTTCCTGAGGGGCTGCGATTCATCACTTCCTTAAAGGATCTGAGTTGCCATGGTATGGGAGAGGAATGGAAGGTGAGATTGTCGGAAGGAGGAGAAGATTATTACAAAGTCCAACGCATCCCTTCTGTTAGATATGTGGAAAAGGTTCACATTGAGAAAACGAGGTTATGGGCGATGTGATTTGTGACAGGATACATACAGCCGCGATGCCGCTCACTCAATTATCTGGTTCTATAGTGTCTTTAATTTCCAGTTTAGTAATTTTATTCATGTACTTCGGTACAGCAAACATATGTAAGTGTTCTCTATTACGAGAATCAGACAAACAATTATCTTGTTCAATCTCTGTCTCTCATCACCTCTGTTCTTCGCGGTGTGTTCTGAATCGGCTCTATCTAATCATCATATTTTAGTATTTTACAGGGTAAAAGTGTTTTCCGGAGAGTCACAATCAGATTTTCAAGATAATCATGCACATCAGAGCTATGTAACTATGTTGAAGCAGTGGTTTTTCCAAAGAAACAGGGAAGCTGTTGTTCTTACTTATTAGATAGAGCTACAATAGATCTGGGCCATAATTTTTTTTTAACGATTTGAACAATCTACGTATTCATATAACAACAAAAATCTGTCACAAGTTCTGTTACAACAAAACCAGAAGCTGAACTTAGCGGCATAGATGTTCAACTACAAAGAGACAAGAAGGAGAGTACAGATTGTGAACTTGGTGTAAACACAGGAAATGCTCTTCTTAGATATGGCAACGGTGGAGAAATAAGGACTGATAACAGTTGTGCTCTTGTTAAGGTTGCAGGGTTGATGTTGCAGCACATGAGTCTCCACGCTGAATGGAAAAGATTTCAACACAATTCTTTGATCATTAAAGAGTCTCCTAAGGTCCCATCTGATTCTGATAACCAGGAAGAATCTCTTGTATCTGACAAGTTACTCGGAGAAATTTCACACACCACGGTTCATCTACGGTTCTCTCCTAAGACCCTATGAAGCACCAGGACGGCAATTGGGTGCCATCTCCCGTACAAATAACCGAAACGTCTCCGGTATTCAACAAAACCGTGACTGATCCTTTACCTTAGGCCTACTACTCATACTGAAGCTGGATTTTGGACACCATACAACAATTTTGGAGCAGTTCAATAAAGAACAATGCGTTTCACGACTTACACTCTTTTCTTTGATCAAACTTAACAGTGATTGATCCTTTACCTTGTAAGTAGCAATATCTTGCCAGCCTAGCTTTTTGCCTGAGACATAAGCTTGATCCTCAAGCTGTCTCCTAGCTCGATGTTGGCCATTCTCGGAATCTGGGTCCATCCCACATACCTCAAAAGTACGCGATATACTAAGCCCAGAACACAGATCTAGCAAGAAATCAAAACAAATTAACATGGATAAGTAGCAAGTACATTTAAACATATGTCAAAGTAAACACTTTGGGATATTGGGATGCACAGACTAGTTGAGTTTTCTAGTCATATAATTCAATCAAAGGGAGAATTCCAGACTATGATGAGAGAGGACAAACAGATAAATTGATCTTATCAGGCAAATGTTTTGATCAGCTAAAAGCTAATCTATACATTATATGGTAAAACGTAGGCTTAGATAAAAAAACAAAATGAAATTCCCAAATAAGTTCTTATAAGAGAAACAGACAACATCCACTATTTCGTGGCTACACCAACACAAGCAAATATAAACTCAAAACTCTTGGCTCATTTGTGTCAATTCCTTATATCTCAAATCTCAGCACAAGCAACTTAAACTACGAGCTAACTCAAGTGATAACCATGATCAGTGATAAGAAGAGAAGAACTTACTTAGCCGGTGGCTCGCGGTCTTTTCTAATCAGCTTATCCATATCATCATAAGGAAAGATGAGATTCTGCGAGCTCGCTGCTTGAATCCACATTGGGAGATATCTCTACCCAATCAAAGCAGACACTCTCTCCCTCATAGGCTCAGGAGGTTCCCTTGGATACCTCTGCAAGAAAAACTCGGCAAGGGCAAGCTCAAGCACGTACTGGTACAGAAACCAAAGCCTCGAGTGCCCGTTCTTGTCACAGGACGGGTGCTGAAACGCCACATAGAGCAGCTTGTCGAAGTGGTTTGCCGGATTCTCGCCGCTTAAGCTCTCCGAAGGCTCCAGAGAGTACCTTAACGCTTGTTTGACATCTTATATTCGTCGATCCATGTTTTATCTGCGTTGTTGAGCTTCAACAGTGGGCGACAGGAGATTACCAAAGGGAATGATGACAGGAGATTTGGAATGATTTGAGTGACAATTGTGGGCTATTGAGGAACCTCCCTGCTAATTTCTTGTCCTCAAATGTTGGCCTTAGGATGAATCGTTTCCGAGGGACTATCTTCTTCGGCTCTGTGGCTTGTTCACGGTGCGCGAGCTCCTTGAGAAATGGCTGACGGCTGCCTCGTGGAAGGCCCTGAGTCTCCGCCACCCACGGAAGCGCAAATTCGGAGATTCTGAAATCTCGGTTTCGCGAGAATCGATGCGTTTAGTTGGATTCGAGATGGGGAACTGGGAGACCGAAGAAGAAAACGAGATTTCGGCTGTTGAAGAGGAACGGCACTGCCCAGAAACGCGGAGGAAAGAAGACGATGAAGATAAGAACAACGCTCCATTGCTTCTGCACTACTAAGATTTCTAATGTATAATTTTATTTTTCATCTCAAAATATAATAATTGTAAAATAATATTGCATTTTTATTTAATATATGATTCTATTTCCTATTCTATTTTTTTATTATTAATTGCTAATTGATTTATAAATTTATCAAAATTTACAAATTAATTTAATAATTTTTAAAAAAAAACTTTGATAAATTACACTAAATTTTAAATTTAATTATTTTAATATAAAAACATATTATATTATATCAAAATGATAGAACAAATTTTCAATATAACTAATTTTGTTTTAATTTTAATGTTTTAATATTTATAATTAATCAATATAATAAATTATCAATAAAATCATAATTTAATAGTTTTAAAGTACAATTATTTAAAACTTGAAAATCAATTTCTAAATTAAAAAGTCAATTCTATAATATACTTGAAAATAAAATGATTCCAAATTTGAAATAAAAAATAATATTATTCTATTTTTAGAATCAAAAATAGAATAGGATTGGAACTAAATTTATAATAAAATAAAATATAATATCAGATTTAAAATAAGGTTGTTGGAGATGCACTAACAAAAGAAAAATGGGTAGAAAAACCATCACTTTTTATAAAAACATAAAATAAACCTTAACTTTTTTTGGGGGCTTTTAAAACCCTGAACTTGTAAAACAATGGAAATCAGCTCTAGATAAATTAGTTTTTTGCATTTTGAGTTTATCTAAAAAAAGAAAATCTAAGTAGTATTTTTTTCCTAAAGAAGGGTTGTCTTCTTCTATTTTAAATAAAATATAAAATATGAGTCATTCAAAATTTTAAAATAGTACAGCCAACAAAACATTTATATCTATATCATAATAAAATAAAATTGTTAAATAAAATAAATTATCTAAAAAAATGGGAACGAGAGTCTCATATACGTAAATGCATGACAACTTCTAGAAACTTGTCACAATGTAAAATACAAATAAATCATCATATTTTACATTGTCTAATATTCAACTTGTTTCGTTCGTGCTCTGAGAAATGATGAAGGTAGCACAATGTTAATGATCATGTCTCGAACACTTCGACCAATACATACATAGTTGTCTCCTGTTAATGGACTGTGAAAAACACCATGACTTTCTATAGGAAGATTTGGTTGGTTATAATATGTGCGTGTTGGCTGGTTTTGAAATGCAAGTGTTGGCTGGCTTTGGAGTTTGGAGTGTAGATGTTGTCTCCACTGTTGGTTCTTTACTCAGATGATTTTTGGATGGACGACCTCGACACTTCTTTGGGAGAATGATAGCTGTTTCATTTGAGCAGCTTCGCTTGGTATGACCTTTTGTAAGACAATTGCTACATGTCTAGAGAACAAAACAAAAAACACATAAGCACATAATAAAATAACATGACATAATTAAAAGTCACAATCAATTATGAATAAAACGATTAAAAACAAGATAAAAACAACAACTAAAACAACAATAATGATACCATTTGAATTCCATGTTGTGTTTGTCTACCAGCAAAAGTTTCATATGCTTCAAGAAGTCTTTTTGGTGTCTTCTTTCGCCCAACTGGATCTCTAAAAGGTGGTGGTAACACTCTTACATCTCAATGCTTAGAGCATGATTATTGGTGATCTTTTGAGGAGTTCTAAACAAAAAAGAAAAAAAAATGACATGGTTAAGATTTGGAAACAGGAGCGCCTCTCTGCGCAGACCTTGAAGGAACGCCTCTTTGTGATGGTGATCTGATGTGGCGTGACCTGATTGGTTAAATGTTTTTTTTTTTTTTGAAAATCGTTTTTAAAAGAAAAATCGATTTTTTCTAATAATAAAAAAAACTAAAAATTTCTCCTCTTAGAGGCTCTCCGATAATCATGCTCTTAGGCCACAGCTCCATACCACTGTTAGGCTTTACTACTCCACACCACTGTTAGGTTTTAGTATGTGTTCATAACACACTTTTCATTTAGGAATTGAAAACCATTTAGAAACTAATGATTCCGGGATACGAACACTTATATTCTCATTTAATAAAGCAGAGATCATATGAGAGCATGTGATACCACTGACCTTGTATCGACGACACGTGCAAGAAATTTCATTTCTTACACTAACACTACATTTGTCCCTACCATAATCAACCTCATACCAACCTCTTCCACCGCAAATTAGAGTGCAATCTTTTACTTTTTTCTTTGTTTATTGAGTAACTTTTTAACATGTGGGGTTACCTCTCCTTTGTATCCATTTATCATGCGTATATTTCCTTCATTGCTTATCATTACATGTATCCTAATATCTTCAAGCAACCCAACTAGTGGTTTAAACAGTCTCTCATTGATCACATTGTTAAAAGATTTACTTATATTATTTTCAACAGCATCACAGTACTTTTTTATACCTGGACCAATGACATGCGGACCATCACATAAAACGTTCATGAGCCTGATGATTTAAAAACTTAAAATCTTTTACTCTCTGCTTAAAACTCTTATATTATATGCTTTTACCATCTTCCAAAATGCAATATGTAAAAGATATATTTTATCACCGAACTTCTTGTACAAGTTAGCCCATATATGCCTAACACACATTCTATGCTCGTAATAAGGAAGAACTGAGTCTATTGCTGTAATTAGACCTTTCTGCTGATCTGAAACAAGAGTTAGAGCATTTCCTAAACCAAGGTCCAAGTCCTCTTGTAGTAATGTCATAAACCACTCCCAATTTGGCTTGTTCTCTACGGAAAGAATAGCCCATGCAACAGGGAACATTTTATCATTAACATCTCGGCCAACAGCTGTAAGTACTTCACCTTTTATATTTCCTTTCATGAATGTTCAGTCCACGAAGAATATGTCTACACCCATTTCCCCCCCTTTTTTCATTGCAGCAAAGCATGAATAGAACTTCTCGAAAACCTTAGCCTTTGTTCCCACAATTACTGTAGAACCTGGATTTGACTCCTTAAGTGCACCTACATAATCATACATCCTAGAAAATTGTTCTTCATATTTATCAGCAATCAGTTTAATACAAATTGTTCGTCATTTATCTTCTAACACTAAAAGTCAATCATTAATCCGCAACCTATCCCTAATTTCACCAGCTTTCAGACCAGAATTTCTTCTGAATTCATCGATGAACTTATCAGATATTTTCCTGGAAGTTAATAACTGAACTTTACCATTTCATGAGCATGTGTGCTTTCCAACGAAAGTTCTCACAACCATATCTTTACTTGATCTGTTTATGGACTCATATATATTCCAAGGACATCCTTTTTCTGCACAAATAGCGCTTACTTTAATAGTTTCAGATCTCTTATACCGTCTATTTCTCTTCATATCCACAACATATTTGTCAATCACCTTTCTGAAACTATCTTTACTACTAAAAGCTTGGCCGACCCGAAATGCAATCATCTCATTAGAGGAATCTTCGGTGTCACTATCACTGTCCTCTTGCATCCGCAAACCAAGCAATTCTTCACTTGATTCATTCTCACTCTCACCACTATTATCTCTATTCCGTTCACTATCTTCTGCAGCGTTGCGTTCGTTATCTTCCGCAACACCATATTCATGCAAATTATTACTTGACAATGAAAAAATAAAGAGAAATTCAGATTCAAGTAAAAAGTATATTGTCAACTCACTCAAAATCAATAAACATTGTTTTTCAACCCATAGATTAAATTGAATTCTAAGTAATCAAAATTGGGATGAAATCCAGATAATAATCAACTTACCTCATCTCCAACTAGATAAAATCGAGATGTGTGCTCTAGTTTCTCTTATACGGCAAGATTAAGAAATTACAGTGTTGTTAATGTTTGACCTAGAATAAAAGATAGCGTTTTTCTTTCTTAATTATTTTGTTTCTTTTTTAAACGTCATCTTAAACGCAAAACGCAAAATGCAAAACGCTAATTTACTTAGGGGCTGATTTCCATTGTTTTACAAGTTCAGGGTTTTAAAAACCACCCAAAAAGGTAAGGGGTTGTTTTATGTTTTTATAAAAAGTCAGGGTTTTTCTACCCATTTTTCCGAAAACCCTTGCCTTTGTACTTGCTGAACCTCCCTCTTTTTGTATAGAAACCCCCTCGAAACACTCACAAACACATAGATGTCTCAATCTCCGGACGAGACTTCTCACTCCAAACCCGTAGAAACACCTTCCTGACTAATTGTTCCCGATAGGGTGTTCATTGAATTCGGCATCAGAGAACCTTCGGGAGGAAACCCCTTTTCAGTCTTCCCGAAGGTCCCATTGATCTTTTGTGTAGTATTTGCAGAACTTCGTAAGACGACCTCTCCGTTACCAGGACTCAAGCGAGCTTCCCCGGAATGACTCGTCGCCTTTCCTCCAGATGACGAAACTTCACAGCTCCATCCCCGGACGAATCACACACCCCACATGGCATCCCGAACAATTACATTAAAAACCAAAAACATATTATATTATCAATGTATATCATAATATTATATAAAAATAAATAAAATAATACATATTTCATTTTGCAGAGGGCACGAGTTATTATTTTTTTTTAATTTGTTTTCACTTTTATATTATTGATTCAATTCGAAAATCCTGATATATTTGAGTTAATTAGGTTAATGAATATTGTTATTTTTATCAAAAATTTTATTTCGTCAAAATTATCCCATTTTAATTTTGATTTATTTCTATATGAGATTTACTATATATTTTTTTGTATAATATATCTATACAATCCATAAATACAGCTACATTTGAGTTAATTAGATGTATTTTGTTAATCAAAATTTCATCTCGTCAATATTGTCTCATTACATTCTATTCTGATAATTAATTTTGATTTTCTAGAGAAATACATTTTCGTATATGATGTATTATTTTGGTATATATTTATCATAATTTTTTTATAATATACAAAGCCATTAAATTTTATTTTCTGGTATACATGTACTATATATATTACTAAATTTTGACTTATTTTTCTTATTTATATATTTTAAACTCATTAAGTATAAGTTATTTAAATTTATCTCATATCGTTTTTAAATTTTAAGATATTTAAAAGTATTTTACAAATATAAAAGATAGATTTAAATAATTTTTATAATATATCTATAAAACCCGGAAAAAATGCAGCTATATTTGAGTAGATTAGGTTTATAAATAGAGTTATGTATTTTTTTTTACCAAAATTCATCTTTTCAAAATTGCCATATTACTTTCGATTTCTGATCTTGAATTTTGATTTTCTATAGATAAGGATTTTTTTTTTTGATCAACAAAAATTTTCTTAAATATTATATTTTCAAGAAAAAAATTGTAAAACAAATTCCACCAAAATTTATTAATTAGAATTTGCTAAAATAATATCTAGAAAACTATGAATTAAAAAAATTAGCATTAACATTGTTCTTAATATAACTAGATTTTGATCTGCGCGTTGCACAGACTTATCTATTAGTTTAGTTTTAAATTTTTTTATATTTATATTATTATTATGTATATGTTTATTCTATATTATAATGATGTCTGTTTAAAATATTTCTTATATTTTTTTGTCCTAAAATATGTATATTTAAATTATAAATTTCTTTTTCTAATATAGACTATGATGTATTATATTAGTTATTAAAAAAGTCTCTCGTATATTTACACGCTGCATTAAGTATTATATGTGTCATAACTGTTATTGACCCAATAAGTCAAAAATTGGGTGTCGGCTTCTTCTCTTTCTCTTTGAGCTCTCTGCCATCCTCGGTTGCAGTGAGTATCCATTATGATCTCTTGTTCAAAGCTTCCTTTTTCCTCATTTTTCAAAAAAAATACATAACTCTATTTATAAACCTAATCTACTCAAATATAGCTGCATTTTTTTCTGGGTTTTATAGATATATTATAAAAATTATTTAAATCTATCTTTTATATTTGTAAAATACTTTTAAATATCTTAAAATTTAGAAACGATATGGAATAAATTAAAATAATTTATATTTAATAATTTTAAAATATATAAATAAGAACAAATAAATTAAAATTTAGTAATATATATAGTACATGTATACCAGAAAATAAAATTTAATGGCTTTGTATATTATAAAAAAATTATGATAAATATATATCAAAATAATTCATCATATACGAAAATGTATTTCTCTAGAAAATCAAAATTGATTATAAGAATAGAATGTAATGAGACAATATTGACGAGATGAAATTTTGATTAATAAAATACATAACTCTTTATAAACCTAATTAACTCAAATGTAGCTGTATTTATGGGTTGTATAGATATATTATACAAAAATATATAGTAAATCTCATATAAAAATAAATCAAAATTAAAATGGCATAATTTTGACGAGAGAAAATTTTTGATAAAAAATAAAAATATTCATTAAACTAATTAACTCAAATATAGCAGGATTTTCGAATTGAATCGATAATATAAAAGTGAAAACAAATACAAAAATAGTAACCCGTGCCCTGTGAAAAATAAAATATGTATTATTTTATTTATTTTTATATAATAATATGATATACATTGATAATATAATATGTTTTTGGTTTTTAATGTAATTGTTCGGGATGCCACGTGGGGGTGTGTGATTCGTCCGGGGGATAGAGTTGTGCCTCTGAGTTTTGTCATCTGGAGGAAAGGCGACGAGTCGTTCAGGGGATGCTTGCTTGAGTCCTGGTAACGGGGAGGTCGTCTTACGAGGTTCTGCAAATACTACACAAAATATCAATCGGACGTTCGGGAAGACTGAATTGGGGTTTCCTTCCGAAGATTCTCCGATGCCGAAGTCAATGAACGCCCTATCGAGAACAATTAGTCAGGAGGGTGTTTCTACGGGTTTGGAGTGAGAAGTCTCGTCCGGGGATTGAGACATCTATCTGTTTGTGAGTGTTTCGAGGGGGGTTCTATACAGAAAGAGGGAGGTTCAGCAAGTACAAAGGCAAGGTTCCGGGTTGAGAAGTGGTTATCCTGATAGGCATTCTCTCGGGAGAACAAGGGGTTCTCCCTTGATCATGCTGTTTGGCAGTGCAAGTTGACTAGGTTTGGCCGGGCACCTCCTCCTTGAGAGGCGTTTGAGATCCGCTGAGACGATCCCCTTCTGGTGTGGTGATCTCTCTCCTTTTATACTGGCATTCTCCTTGTCCTGTCTTCTCCATTCGGCGTGCCAGGGAAGCAGGTGGGCTAATGATTCTTGCGTGTTTGGAGAAGCTCGCCAACTGCCCGAGAACAATACACGGGAGTGGTTCGGGCGAGCAATCGTGACGTGTGTCAGTGTTTAGAGCAGTTCGATGTCCACGTGTCGAGTCCTCCTTGAACGCGGTAAAATCTATCCCAACAGTTGCCCCTGACTTCTTGACTGATTGAGAAATGAGTCGGGAAGTCGACTTCTCCTCAGTTTCCTGTGCAACAAACATGGGTTATCGGGTTCCCTAAACAGTTCAACATTAAAGGCCAGACTGACGCGACGACCTTGCCGCGTATCGCGAGGAATACGGTACTAGTCTGGGGTAGCTAAGTTTCTGAAGATAGTAAAAATAGGGACTCATCCAAACCGTGCCACACATCCGATGGAGTACGGTACTGGCCAGATGGTCCGGATTTCCGAGGAAGTAAGAAAAGGGTGTCAACTCCGACCTTGCCACATATCACAAAGGAATATGGTCCCAGTCAGAGGAGTGAACGTAAGAGGTTCTTAACCCCGACCTTATTCGTATGTCCCGGGAGAGCACATTATCAGTCGAGGGAATTACACTTCTAGAGAAGCAAGCCACGGGGCAGCTTTTAGTAGACGTCAACTCCGACCTTATTTGCATCCAGGAGAATATGTTATTGATCAAAGGAATTACATTTCCGGAGGAAGCAAACCGTGAGATGGTCAAACTAGATATATAGAGACTCGTCCTGTCTACATTACACATCCGGAGGAGTACGCCGTTTGGCCGGGGGAGTTAGATGAGAAGGTCCTCTCCTGACTGGGGCGTGCATCCGAGGGAGTACGACGCTTGCTCAGGATAGGAGATAGGTGCTCCCGAAGGAACTAACAGCTTGGCTACTGATGGACATCTCTCCGGGGGGATTTTACTTCTTGTTTCGTGAGGCACTAGACAAAAAGCCGTCTTGCCCCCTCTCATTGGGGTTATGAGTGAGGTTATAGTCCTATGTGACCATTGGGATCGATATAAGACAACGACACGGGCTAAGAAACCGTCCCAAGGGCCAGAGGTGGTGCCGGTGGACGGATGAATAGATGTTCCCTGCGTTATGGAGCGCTAACGCAAGGGGGAGTCGCTACTCGAATGCAGCTGGTGCGGAGTAGAGCGTTTCCCGAGGGTGTTACCTCCACTCCCTTACTGCCTGGACAGCCTTCGCGTTGTGCTTACGCAGAAGTTTTCGAGTTTTGAGAACGTGCTTGTGATATACCCTAAAGGGGAAGAGGTCGGGATATTATTAGGAAGAGAAAGCCTGCGAGTCAGCGACCTCAATTCCTGTGGTGCCTGAGTGGCAAGCATGTCCTTGGGAGGAGCATACTGTTATCGCACGGCCCGCTGGAGGGGACTGTCGGGGAAGAGCCAGAGGTCTGAGAGGCCGGAGCCTTAGAATCCCCAAGGAATGGTGCCCTGGAGGGCGAGCAAGTCTGCGGGGGAGCATGCTCATGGTGTGCACGGTCCCCGGGGGGAGCTGGCGCGAGATGTGGCACAGGGGCCTGCTGGACTGGAGTCTTGAATTCTCAGAGGAATGG